TATTTTTAAATTTAAATTATCTTTCTGAAAACATTTCTTTAATCATTTTTTCTTGATTTTTGTTGATTATCATGTTGATCGCATTAAGTATGGCATACATATCCACGTATATTCACGTACATTTTTGTGTGTCTCATGAGTTTTTGTAAAAAAAATCAAGATAACAGTTGAAGACAATACTTAGCAGAATCGAGTAGCTCACTAATATTATAGTGCGCTTTCCGTATACTATTCTACAGGTTTCATGGATTCAATTGTAGAAAATGACATACATAATAAAAACTGTATCTATTCAATTCCTGTCTTCTATTAATTTTAAATATATACTTTAAATATATACTTTATGTACATTCTAATTTCACTCTTTTATTTCAAAGTTAAAAATTTTCTAATCTTATCTGGAATTTTGAACAAAAATACATGGAAAGTTCTTAGAGAATTTTTTTATAATAAACACTTTGTAAATTTACACACATAGATATAGTATATACATAAATCCAAAGTTAATAGTTTATATAATACTTTAATAACTTTCTACACAGATTAGATAAATCTATGTATATATAGACATTCAAATACATTAAAATTATTCTACCGATCACACATCGCATAATTCGAAGTATTTATCATTTTTCATCTCGAATATAATTTTCTAATAATTACATATTACAAAATGATAATTACATATTACAAAATATTTCTTTGGTAATCTATAATGAGCCACAGGCTACTGAAGGAGATGCACGACAGCCGTGTGCATTATATAATTACAAGTTCCACAATTTGTGGCATGTATTACATTAATACTGAGCTTCACGGTCCTACCGACCTTCCCGTGTGATTAGTTTAGTTAATTTTCTCTGTTAAGGGCTTAAATTGATCCCGGAAGCGTTGGAACGTTTAAGATTATTTCCATATATGTCACCTGGAAGAAATTATAAACTATAAGTATAATTTGATCACATCATATTTTTGTCAACTAAGTTTTATGAAACGCTCTAAAATTTTCGAAACTTTCCTTAACACGTTAAATATTGCCAATTATTTTCCCAAGTAAGGAGAGCCTGAATAGATGAAACATGAACTGATAATAAATTCTCAACGTCTTTCTCGCTCCCCTCGGTTTACTTGTAATAAATAAACGTTAGAAGTTTTATTGCATTTAATATTAACCCCCACACAAATTATGTATATAACAACGAAACATGAGGATGTTCACGTGACTTTATAAACTGAAACATGAATTACGTATCTGAATACGATGAACGTAAAGTTATTACGTAGTCAGTTATCACGTTGCGTTTTATAAAACCTCTCCGTGTTATGTTATTATTTATATTAGAAACTAAATTCATATCGCACGCGAGAAAATGATCAGTATTATACATATAATGCAAATAATTCAGTATGTAATTAATATATTTCCGTTTTCGAGTTTCAAGAAAGCTATTACATAATCTGAATTATTGTACAGCTTAGAGCTTTTTGTGGTGGATAACAAGGTAGGAGCTTAGCTTTCATAGCTGTCTATTGTGTGAGAAGACTTTCTTTAATGACATTACCTGGCGTCGCATTGCGTCAATGCGATATTGGCGGACTTTTCGAGCACTTCGATTACAATGACTCTTTCATTGAGGCACGGCCAATAGAAGTCAAACCTAATTACCCCGTGAAAAGAAATTGTAAGGTATTTATTTCCTAAGAAATTATTACAAAATTAGAAATAATCACCTGTAAATTTATTTCATTATCAAGATTTGGATATAACTGATAGAGAGAGAAATTCTATATTTTTTTATTTAGTTTATTTTATTTAATTTATTTTATTTTATTTAGTTTATTTTATTTAATCGTTAGACACTAACATTAGAATTCTCGGAGGAAATATAATTCTTTCGAAATCATGAAAATAGATTAAACTTCACAATGATGAAAGAATTATCACGTATCTTATAATAAGGAGAAAGATTAGATTCAATAAATGATCGAAATGTGGCAACTGTCATCTCATAAATAGTCAGATAACTAATAATTAAACAATATATAGCTTTTCTAAAACTGGACTTTAATCGAATATCGATTCCATTTTTAATTGGCGAATTCGACCCAAATTGTAAATTGAATTAAAGCTAGTGACAAAATATTTGATACCTTCTATCTTTAATCAGAAAAGTTAGCACCGACCTCATGTTTAACTCTTTATCTGTGAACATCCGTTTCATAAAATACAGTTTTCGCTACAATAGTGAAACAATAGAAGTAGCTTCGACCACAAACATGTAATTCATCACAAGACTTCGTCACAAGACTTTTATGATGCGGTCACGAAGTAATGTCCCGTCTTGACAACGTGCCGCGGTATCGATTTATTAGTAACCTGCACGCAATGTTGATAATAGCACAATATCAACCGACTATTACAAAGGCGACTAAAAAATAATTGCCGCGTAGTTTTGTTACGTTTGTAAGCCGGAAATACTTTGTTCGTCTGTTATTGTTAGCAATATAAAGCATTTCGTAGAAATTTACTACTGTTTGGGAATATAAAACTACGATGATTTTTGCAAGAAAAACAATCATGTAGAGATAGAATGATTAAACGAAGAATACATTATACTCATGATTGTCAGTATATTACAACATTACTTATTATAACTGCACAATGTTATCACGATTTCGTTTTCTCTCTACAAAATAAGAAAGTTTTAGATACTTGATTTCTAAATTCCAGATATGATCTCTAAATATGATTTTATGATATTTTTTTTTGTGAAAAGTCGTTCTTGAATATGTGTTACAAAATTTTCACAAATATACTTATTTTGTCGTATTGTGACGATTTTAGTTTCGCGTTATATATTAGACATGTCTTGTCAATAAATAATATACCTATAGAATTATAGCATAATAGTAGAAACTCACATTGCTGCTAAATTTTAATTTCTTAATTAGTATTAATTAATATTCATTTCTTAATTTTCATTTCCCCTTCCATTAATTCTCTAGGGGCGAGTGTCGCAAATTTGCACCGTTCACTTTAAAATTAAATTCGTGATAAATTCGGAGTAAATTCAAAATGTGTGCAAATTAATTATATTTAAGAGCTGAAGAGGGAAATGTATGTAACATTTAACATTGAAATATAGTACTTCTACCCGTCAGAAAAAACTGGAAAATACATTTATATATATCAGAATGTAAATATTGATCGATTCTTCACTTGCAGCTCATTTTTGAGTAGTAAAAATTGTTTTTTTAACGATAAGACGATGCCTTAGAGAATTAAATATTTTTATCTAAATTGCTTTGTTTTTTTACTTTATTATTAGCAAACAAAAAATTCTCTTCTTAAAAAAATTGTCAATTTAACAGTATCCGAAACATAGTTGTGTAGGTAAAACAATTTCGTTTAATCAGATTATATATATATATAAATTATTATTCTCATTTCAATTTTGAATAAACAATTTTGTAAACTGCATGAAAATTTAACATCCTTTTTTATACTCTCGGATATCCTCATTACTTGAATTTTTTATTATTTGTAAAATGGAACCAAAGAGATACTGCTGCTCTGTGTGTGTGTGTGTTTGTATTATATTTTTGTGTGTTGTATACATTTATATTTTATCTTTTTTTATAATAGAAAGTTTGTGCAATGCAACCGACAGGGGAATGTCGCCGTTATTCTCTGGCTCGCGCATAGTCATTCGACATTATTACTCCCATTTCCCGCTCGTTATCGTGATGAAAGTGAATTATTTAGCAGCAGCTAATTAATTAGTACCATCGAGAGAACACAGCTGTCTCATCGCAATATAATTTCCCAGGCCAAGTGACCTCGCTGGTGCGTGGGATAATTACTCACGGATCTGTATTTCCGTCGCGTCTTCGAAACACTTTGCCATTATGATCATGCTGGTTTTTTGTTGTCGCGATTATGACAGTCGGTATTGACTGCAATCGGTGGTGGTACCGTGGTGGTACCGGAGGTAAAAGGCAGATATCTTTACACGGAGTTTGTTTCGCAAAAGAGCTTCGTAACGTTGAAAGTAACGTTCTTTTTGCGTGTAGTTATTTGTAGTTATTGCAAGTTTTGCGAAAATCATTAGTTCAATTACGCCAGCTATAATCAATCTTCTGTTTATCGATATGCAAAACAGCGCGTATCTTTGTCACTCGGCATAAAATAAGTCTCGCAAATAATATATTGTATACCACACGTGTATCGGAGTTTTGAATTCTAATTGAGATAATATTTTCCACAATAAATTATTTATAGTAAATAATATAGCTATTAATAAGTAGCTTGTCAATTTTATTTGTGATGCTACTATCCCAGTTCGACTTATGCGATTGCGCCTACGGTTCACTTGATACTACAAATGCTTCGAAGCATTTTTTGATTGATCAATTAGTAAAATTCTTTCTTCCATCAATCAAAAGCTTCGAAGCATTTGTAGCGTCAAGTGAACCGCATCCTGCGTTTCAAAACTGAAAATGATTTTGGCATGGCAGAACTGAATATGTATAAATATAAATTCACATCAAATATTATTTAAAATTCAATTATAGATAGACCGTTGAGGCTTTCGTTATGTATTTGTGGTCTTAAGATTTAACATAGATAAACATTTTTGTTCAATATATATCATTCCCAAAATAATCCTGCGACTGAACTATTTTTTTTTTTTCCATAAAACTGTACATTACTGGCGTTGCAATCGATACTGTGTGATAACTAATAGCATACACAGCACAATGCGATAACAGAGATATGCACGATAAATAGGTTCATCGTCAATTCTTATCTAATTTATTCATACATAAACATAAATGCGTATACAGTCGCATGTCGTTGTATTACCGGTTCTATTTGTATGAAAACTGTTGCATGAAACTTGCGCATTGAACAACTTATCGAAACAGAATGTCCTATTTAAAAGTGATATTCTCCGCGATCGATGTGTATACGAATTAGTCATGTGCTAAGTGCTTACCTAAGTGTCGCAAAGTGCTCCGGTTACCCTTCGCTGACGTATGCACTTTTCGCCCGTGCGGTCTCCTCGTATTTCCATTCCTCGTAATCGCCATATCATGTGCAGCAAGCATAATCGAAACTTTTCCAAAAACTTGGCATAAAATAATCTGTGCGAGAAATATTATTAACAATAGCATTAAAATTAATTTTAATAAAATTAATAAGTTAATAAAGTGTCAAAATGTGTCAAGAAATGTGCAAAATATCAAAATATTACATATTCAATAGCATAACATATTAAACGTACAGACACATAAAATATTAAATCTCTAGCATATAAATTACTAGGAAAAGTATGAAAACATGATGGATATTCGTTACGAGCTTTTGACAAATATTATAGAGAAAAGCAATCGATTTTTATAACGAGTTTTCATTTTTCACAAGTCGTATCGTGAATTTATCTTGATACTATACAATGTGCAGAGAAGGAAAAGTTCTGACTTCATCCATGATTCGTAGAATCGTGATAAGCGTGCGTAAAGCTGAAGCGGATCGATCTGCCGAAAGAATTCTGATTGTATCTCCCGGCAACCTTTTAATATTATATCTCGGGAATTCTCGATACGCACCATCAAATCTGTAATGAACCCGGTTCATCTTTCTATTGCAGAGCGCTGAAAACTGGCCGCCTTCAGTCATGTGATTCCACGAAGATCCGTACAATTAGTAGAACACGGTTGTGAGTATCTCCGTTTTAAGCCTCGTCGAGAAGTCCTTATCGTGAGTCCACACGCGGCGGACTGGGTGATGAGCTCGTGGTACAAGTGGAAGACTGCCGCCGTTGAAAGATGTTTCGCTCCAAGATTCGCATTCACACGTGTCAAGTGATACTGCTGACGTCACTAGTATGGTTCCTGGTCGACGTCATGGTGCTCATGCTCTATTCGGACTGCATCGGAGGGTCCGGATGGGGCTGCTCGGACAACAAACAACAGCAGGCGCTTCAGTCCGAGGAACCGCTTCAACTGCATCCGAAAGCTCAGATCAGAGAGCCGCAAGCAATAAGACAAGACTATAGTAATAAGAGACAATATCTGCAGTCGGAGCTGCATCTGTGGCGGCCAGCGAAGGTCGTCAAGGAGAATAAGGGAATGCCTGGCGAGATGGGAGCGGCGGTGGCCATCCCGCCGGAAAACGATGCCAAACAACAGGAGCTATTCAAGCTAAATCAATTCAATCTGATGGCCAGCGACATGATCTCCTTAAATCGATCCTTAAAGGATATCAGACTCGAAGGTTGTAAGAATAAAAAATACCTCAAGTATCTTCCAGACACGAGTATCGTGATAGTTTTCCATAATGAGGCATGGACCACTCTACTGCGGACGGTCTGGTCCGTGATAAATAGATCTCCCAGGTCGTTGCTGAAGGAAATCATCCTTGTGGACGACGCGAGTGAGCGTGGTACGTTCTCGTCTCGGTTTCAAATAAGCGTAACGAGTATAACGAGCACCAATGTTTTTACCTCGGGTTTTACTGTTTATGTAATATAGATTGATTTGTAAGTCTTGTATCATATAACAGCGAGCGATCAACGCAATTGTATATTTAAATGAAAGAAAATATAAACATTGATATCGAATCGATAAATAATTGCAAGAATCGTAGCTTGAATCAAAGTGACCGGTGAAATTTTATTTTCTAGAGCACCTAAAGCAAGATTTGGAAGACTACGTAATTACGCTGCCCGTTCCCACGTATGTGTATCGCACCGAAAAGAGGTCGGGCCTGATAAGAGCGAGGCTGTTGGGAGCAAAACATGTCAAAGGACAAGTAATCACGTTTCTAGATGCGCATTGCGAGTGCACCGAGGGTTGGCTGGAGCCGCTATTATCAAGAATTGCTAACGACAGGCATACTGTTGTCTGTCCAATCATAGACGTAATCAGCGACGACACCTTCGAATATATCTCGGCCAGTGATATGACCTGGGGAGGTTTCAATTGGAAATTAAACTTCAGATGGTACTATGACATTATGACGTTATAACATTAAATATCATGAATTTTAATAAGATTACCTTCGTATTTTAACCGAAATAGTTAAATCGCTCTTGCCTTTTAAAAAAAAAAGAGACATACGAAGAAAATTTGAGTTGCAAATGTGGAAATCTACATATTTTGCAAGTCATGAATAGTTAGATTGGCATATATAGTTAAATCCGCTTAAAATATTAAATTTATCGATCTTATATTGATATATATATTTGATATAAATTTATATCTTCGTTAAATTATGATAGTTTCATAAATTCTGCGATTTTTACACTATCATATCTACGTAAATTCAATACTTCTCGTTCTAATTCAGTTAATCTCCATATGTAATGATTTGAAATATAATCAACAATAATCTCTCTCTTTCCTTCATGTATAATTACGAACTGCCGAGTTTACAAATTTACGATTCCCGCAATATTCACCACAAATGTGTATATACACTGTGTTTATTGTTTAATTAAATTAACTGTATTTATAATTAATTTCGAAATTCTCTGAAACAAAACGCGTTGGCAGTCTGTCAAATTATATATTAGTGCATTTTATGCATTTGTGCCATCTAATTTTTTATCTTTTTAAACAAGACATTAATATTATGTTAATTTCACTCAAAAAGGTACAGAGTTGCACAGAGAGAAATGGATAGGAGGAATAGCGACAGAACAGCACCGCTACGAACACCGACTATGGCCGGTGGATTGTTTTCTATTGATAAAGAATATTTCTACGAGTTAGGTGCGTACGACGAAGGCATGGACATCTGGGGTGGTGAAAATCTTGAAATGAGCTTTCGGGTAAGTATTCTTTAAGATACGATAAAGACAACTGCTAATTAAAATTAATAATCACAAAAATTTTATACAATATGAGATTATATCCAATAGTCTCAATACCATGTGATCAACACATTAAAAAAATTATAACAATGATTATTTATAAGTACGAAGGAAAGAAGATTGAGATGTTCATTACGAAAAACGAATCATTTCTAATATCCATTAGTGATAACTGTCGCCTCTATCGTATTAAAGATAATTGTGCAGTATGTGACAGACTATTTGACGAAGAGTTTTTAAAGGGTCCTTCAAAGGATATTCTATAAACTTCCACTGTTATTTGTGAAGTCATAAGTACCTTGTAGGTGTGGCAATGTGGCGGAACATTAGAAATCAGTCCGTGTTCACATGTGGGACATGTATTCCGGGACAAGAGTCCATATACATTCCCTGGTGGTGTCAGCAAGATAGTCCTGCACAATGCAGCTAGGGTGGCCGAAGTCTGGATGGATGAGTGGAGAGATTTTTACTATGCCATGAATCCAGGTTAGATAATCAAGTGTATCGTTTAATTAATTTCTCTCCAATGTGTTGTACTGAATTGCGCTAAATGATGCCATTATTGTACACCTAAGTTATACATATTCCATACATAAGTTATACATAGTATACTAGTATATCAGAATTCATATTATTTGTTACAAATTTTTGTTTCTAAAAATTATTCAATATGTATAAACGCATATATATCCGATTTGAAACAGTAATTTAAAAAGTTGTCGAAAAATTTGTAAAATTCGTTAAAGAATTTAACGTATTGTTTAATTATTTCAAATTTCCATGTAGCTGGTACTCATATAGCGCTTATATCAAAAGCAACGATGTTGATTGATAAAATATTTTTTTGTGAAATTGAAATTTTACAGTATTATATTCTATACAATATTATTCAAGCGAAGCTCTTATATAAATATATTTGACGGGTATCTGATACAAGCCGTTTATTACCTCTCACAAATATTATTATAATTCATATAGCTATATGAATTGCAGTTGTTTTTGAATGCATTATTTTCTGGTTAATAAATTATTCTTCCATTTGACTAATAATTAACAGTTTTGTATTAATACATTCTCATAAAATGATTTTTAACACATTAGTTATATATACACCAAGATATATCATAAATTAGTTAAGTTAATCGTTTATATGTGTTATGCACACACATTATGATTTATGTATTTACTAATATTTCATACATAATACACATTAGTAGTTGTATACATTATATTTCTAATATCTAAACTAAAATTAAAATCTCTTACTACAGAAATTATTCTCAGAATCTTACTGCTCTCGAAGTATTTTACTTCAGTTTGTTTTTTTTCCAAACAATAAGTACAATACTACAGTACGATGAAGAATTAAGGAATATCCCGAGGCATAAACATGAATGAACGTTGAATGAACATTTCAGATATATTTTATTTCTATATCTCAATAAAAATGCTGGTGTAGTCTTAACCACTCATCCATCCAGCCGACTAACCAATTGAAAATTGCGCTTGCTTTTAATGGAATTCTCTCAATAAACTACATTATAGGTGCCGCAAGAGAAGAATTTCTAAATCCACCATGAGCCGCAGAATACCGTTATCATATTTCTCATGTGTTATTCTTTTTCTTTTTGTCTCTTATCGTGTGATTACCGTTTGTAACTGCTAACACACTAACAGAACTGAGTTGGTTAGATATGGATGTGTGGTGGGACATTGGAAATTGCGACATGCTCGCACGTCGGGCATGTATTCCGTAAGTCAACCCCGTATACCTTCCCGGGCGGTACGAGCAAGATAGTCAACCACAACAATGCGCGGCTCGCAGAAGTTTGGTTGGACCAATGGAAGTACTTCTATTACAACATTAATCCAGGTAGCACTAACACTGGCGTATCTCGCACAAAAAAAAAACAAGAAAAAGAAAATCCCTATCCCTATACATCTCTTTCTATGTATTGATTGCTTTGCGCTGCAGCATGTTGTGGAAGAAGTCTGTGCATGTCTCTTTATCAATCATTTTTATTATTTACGGCTTCGGGTGCTCACTATATCTATCAGATACCCGTTAACATTTATTTAAAACATCATTGCTATTACGTTCTCTCAACACTGTAATATTGTTACTTAATAATCCAGTAGACAACGATGGGTATGATGTACAATAAACGAGAACAGCAATGCAAATAGGACATGTAGAAGTATACTTGAAGAATAAAAAATAAATCACGCATGGCATTAAGGGTTCTATGTGACACTATTATAATCAAAAGGTTATTATTAAAGGGAGATATTCTATTAGAGTGACAGACATACAAGTAACAATAAGAAACATACATGTACTCATAGTAGTTTCTTAATTAACATATGTATAAAATTATATATACTCAAATATAAAACAATTTTAATATGAAGCACAATACATTTCTGCACGCTACATTTGCAGATGTATGAAAGTTATTCGTATATGTATATATAAATCAATGCTACTTCATAAACTTCTTTACATCTTTCAGATTTCCAAAAAGATGCGTTGCGTAATTGCACACTTATTTTTTAGGAGCAAGCATATGGCATTTAATGTATCATACAATATAATTCCATGGTTGCAAATTTCTTTATTTTTAGCACTAAATTCTCTGACAAATCTTCTTTTCAACCAATTTATATGCAAGCACGATATGTAAAAAAAAAAAAATACGTGTAAATAAGTTCGGCGTTTGTAAAATGTAGCGTTACAGAAAATCAATTCTTTTAGGGGCGCGAAACGTCGACGTCGGTGATGTTTCCGAGAGAATAAAACTCAGAGAACGA